ACACTGTTTCACACACTTTATGTTTCACCCAAACTGCTTTAATTTTTGCTCTCCAAACTCCACATTGCATATCCTGCCTTCCTAACTTGGTACTGGTGGCCCCTGTGCCTGGAGGGTACCTTCTCACCTCTGCCTCTTTTAATCCCTACCTTCCATTGTGGCTCAGCTCAAGTTCCATTGCCCACAACAAATCCCTCCTGGTTCCCTCCTCCAATGGTCATGTTAACTGAATACATATTGTATCTCCCAATGGATTGTAAGCTTTTTCATGGCAGAGACTGGCTTTCATTTTCTTTTTGTCTCTGCAGGACCAAGGATAGTGCCTTGCACATAGGTGGTGATAAATCCTTGTTGAATTGGAGACCTGGGATATCCCCCCAACATCTGCTTTATCTACTCCTACTTTCCAACTTCTGGACACTGCTATAGTCAGTCAACAAGCATTTATCAAGGGCTTACTATGCAGGAAGTGTTGGGAAAATGTTCCACAGCTTAGCCGTCTAGGTCCACTACAAATTCATGCTGTCCAGCCTCACTGGGGACCTTGCTGATTCACAATTCTCATCATCTTCCTTAACTGAGTCTTGTGATAGCTCTTTTAAGTCTTCTCAAGCCCCCAAAGTACAGTTGACCACTCCCTCTTCCAGGGTGCTTTCCCCTCCCTTAGTTTCTTTGATATTTATCTCACCCCCTTGTTCTTCTACCTATCTTCCTGCTCGTTCCCTATCTTCTCTGCTGGTTCATCATCTACCTCTTGACCCCTGAGAATGGGGTTGCTTAGATTGCTGACAAACAGGAATGAGTGGGTGGAGAGGTAGTGGTGACCAGGAATATCTATCTTTCTAGGAATTCAGCATTAAGGACAGGTACAGGGCAATAGCTTGGGGAGGGTAGTAAGGTTAATAAGAGACAGTTTGTTTATTTTTTTTTTCAGGATAAGGGGAGACCTAAGCATACTTGTAAGGCAAAAGTGAAGGAACAGAGAGGATGAGATTGAAGATCTGTAAGAGATAGCCAATTTATTTTCACAGAAAGGGAATGAGTCTTCAGCAGCCATATGCAGTAGCTTTGGGAATCCAAGCAATTTTCTTGACCTTTATGAGCCTCAGTTTCCTGAACTATTAAATGGGAATAAAAATTCCTTGTGCTACTTACCTCCCAGGGTTATAAGGAAAGTATTTTATAAATCCTAAATCCTTTATGAGAGAGGGGAAAGGCAGAAAGGGTAGAGAGGAGAGCCAGAAAGAACTGGGTTCAAGTGTAACCTCTGATACACAATAGCTGTGTGACACAGAACAAATCATTTAACCCCTCAATGCCTCAGGCTGAGGCACTCTAAGATTATTGGTTGCAAAGAAGTTTGCCTACTCTAATGAAATCACAGGTATAAACCAAAGCAACAGGCAGAGGGAAGAGCTGTTTATAAATGTCAGCCATCATCATTATTATTAGGGGACTAAGGGGATGATAGCTAGAATGGGGTCATGGAGGAAACAAAAAGGGATTAGGGTGAGGGTGCGGGCAGGGTTAATGCTATAAAGGAAGAAGGCCATCTCTTCTTCTGCAATTGGAGAGAAAAGAGGAATTCTATCTCTTCTGGTGTGGAGTATAGTACTCTGCATACAATAAACACCTAATCAACAGATAGATAGATAGATAGATAGATAGATAGATAGATAGATAGATAGATAGATAGATAGATGAATGACTGGGTAGATTGACAGATAGATGGTTAGGTAGATAGATAAAGCTAGAGACTGATAGATGATAGAGATGTAGATATAGATAGATGAATTGGTGGATAGATAGACAGACAGACAGATGGGTAGAGATAGACAGATGTTGATTAAATTGAATTGACATGAATGGTGAGGTTGTGGAGGTAGGGAAAGTACTCTTATTGCTCCCATCACCTCCCCAGGAGGGAAATAATTCACAATCCTGGTGGCCACGTGGATTTGGAACCAGGAAGACCTGAGTTCAAATCCCATCTCTGATACTTTCTAGCTGTGTGACTTTGGCAAGTCAACTTCTTTCAATTTCAGTTTCCTCAGATGTAAAAGGGGGAATACTGTCTGTGATATTTACCTCTGAGAATAGCGGTGAAGCTTAAAGAAAATAATGTTGTGAAGAACTTGGTAAAACAAGCTATGTGTCAGTTACCATCTTCATTTTCATAATGTAGCCATGATGAAGTAAAAAGAGCCTGAGATTTGGAGTCAGAACTTGGTTCAAGACCCAATTCTGAAACTACATTATCTGTGTGACCTTGGGTAAGTCAATTCTCTTCCCAGACTCAGCTTCCTCATCTGTAAAATAAGGGATCGCAGGAAACTAGATTAAGAGCTGGAAGAAGCTCTTGGAGGCCCCCAAGTCCAAACTCCTTATTTGACAGAGGAGAAGACAGAGATCCAGAGAAGTGACTGGCCAAGGGTCACATAGCTAGTAAGGGCTGAGGCAGTATTTGAACCCATCCTCCTGACATCAAGCCTATCCACTTCTATCCACTGCAGCCACCTTTCTGCCCTAAGGGGGTTAGTCTAGAATTTAGACTCTAGAAGACCTTCCCTTCCAGCTCTGACATCCTATTTTCTATGAAAAGCTACCAGGAATAGGGAGAATAACTTGTGCTTGCTAGCTGTGACTTGTCATAGCCCCTCTCTGAGCCTCAGTTTCCTCTTCTGTGAAATGGGAGTAATCTCTCCCTAAAAAACCGGGAATAAATGGGGAAAAAATACCTTGTGCTACTTACTACCCAGGGTTATGAAGAAACTACTTTGTAAACCTAAAACTCTTCAGGACAGGCTGCATGGGGTATCAGAGAGCCGGCCTGGGAGTCAGAAAGACCTGGGATTAAGGTTTAATTTCTGAAGGTTGTGGAGGCTTTAATGAGGTTATGAAGAGGAAAGTGCTTTCAGAACACCATATACAGAACAGCATTTTTGGTCAGTGATTCATTTCTCAGCTCTATTAATTATTAGCTGTGTGACCTTGGTCAAATTGCTTTTTTCCAGGCCTCGGTTTCCTCTTCTGTACAATAAGAAGTTTGACTCAAGGAGTGTTGGAACCAGCTCTCACCAGCTTGCAGGAGTCAGAAATCAGCCATAGCAACAAATAAGGGCTTGGTTTATTGTTTTGCTGACTGTTTGGGTTCAGTAGGAGTGCAGTAGAAGCCTCAGGGAAGGAATTCCTCACCAGAATGGAGGATAATTAATAATTGATGATGAGGATGATAACTGGCATTGGTAGAGCACTTTTTTTTTGCTTTTTCGGTGAGGTTAAGTGACTTGCCCAGGGTCACACAGCTAGTAAGTGTCAAGTGTCTGAGGCCAGATTTGAACTCAGGTCCTCCTGACTCCAAGGCCAGAGCTCTATCCAGTGCACCACCTAGCTGCCCCCTGTATAGCACTTTCAAGGTTTGCAAAGTACTTTATATGTCTCTCATCTAATTTGAGCCTCATAACACCCATGGATTAGAGGATCTCTAAGGTCCTTTCTGGCTCAAAATCCTATGACCCAGTCACTTCATAAGAATATTCAGGCTAGAAGGACTTATAGACGCTGCCTCATTCAACTCTCTTCTTTTACAGAGAGGGCAACTGAGGCCTGGAAGGGACAGTGACTTATACAAGGTCACCCAGGGAGCCAGTGGCAGGGCCTGACTTCCCAGCTTCCCAGGGTTCCATGAGCTACACCAGCATTGTGTGGTGAGGAAAGATGGATACATGTCTTTGAGAAACAAGGGCTGAATCAGCTGAATCTAACTTTCCAGACATTGGCTCAGAAAAGCAGAAGGAGATCTGGACTTGGGAGTAAGTCCCAGCTCTAAAACTTCCTCTCTGTGTGTCCAGGACAAGTCCCAGAATCTCAGGACTGGAAAGGATAATAATAACAGCTCATATTTGTTCTCTCTCCCTGTGATTCAAGAAGTATAAATATTATATTATTATCCCCATTTTACAGATAAGAAAATGAAGGCTCTGAAATTTTGTTAGAGATAGATTATAGAGAGAATTCTTGTTCAGGGAAGTGTTGGAAGTGATGGCTTTGGAGCTTCCTTTCAAACTGCAGATTCTGTGATTTGCCCATGGACACAGCTAGTAAAGTGTCTGAGGTCGAATTTGAACTCAGGTCCCCCTGACTCCAGGGACAGTGCTCTATCCACCTAACTGCCCCCTGAACTCCAGTCTTATACTTACTTACTGCATGTCCAAAGACAGTCCCTTCCACATTTCCTTGGTTCAGAGCTGGGTTCAAGAACTGCCTCTGACCCATACTACGTGTGAGACCCTGGGGAAGTCAGTTAACCTTTGAGGGGCCCCAGCTTCTCTCTAAGACTCTGAGATTCACAGAAGGTGATGATTCATCTTGGCTCCCTCACTGGAGTTCCAATACACCAATGAAATCCCAAGTCTGCACCCCAGCCCTAAAATGCTATGGAAATAGGAGTTTTTATTAAACACAAATTAGGAAAGATCATAGGATTTAAAGTTGCAAAGAGTCAGGAGGACCTGAGTTCAAATCTGACCTCAGACACTTGATACTTACTAGCTGTGTGACCCTGGACAAGTCACTTAACCGCGATTCCCTCACCAAAAGAAAAAAAAAGAGAGAGAAGTGGTCCCTGACCTCAGAGGGTCCTGATTAGGGGCAAGGGCAGGGAGTGGGGTAAGTAAAGCCCCTCTTGCCAGGGATCCTGTAGCCTAAGGGAAGAGACAGCCAAGGAGTTGGGACCATCTAGTCCAACCAACCCCCTCAAGGAACCAAGGTTCAGAAAGAGCAAGGGTCTTGCCCACAGGGACATGGGTAATAGAGTAGAAGTAGCAGGGCCAAGACTCGGACCCAGGTGTTTGACCCAACAGTCTAGCCTGGTGTCAGGGTGTCAGTCTTCAAGGGTACCAGAGAGATCCTCCCCACCCCCCACAACCTCTCAGAGGTCCGATATGTAACCTTGAGGACCATAAACCCTGGAAAGAGGCAAGAGACTGGAGCACGATGGGGTCTGGAAGGCTTTAGAATACCACCACAGCATTTATTTCATACCGCTGCTTAAAATATATAGATCATATATTCATATATTTATATATTTATATGTAAAGAGGAAGAGAGGGAAAACAACCCACAACATGAGCTATACTTTTATAAATATTTCTGCATGTTCCACCTTCCAAAGGAGGGGAAAATGGGTATCCTCCATGAGTGAGTCTGTTTGCTCAATGGCCTGGACAAAATCGGTTTTCTTGGCTCTGGATGGAGTCTTCTTTTTGGGTAGAAGAAAGGGATTCTGGAATCAGGGAGCACCCCCCCCCCCCCCCGCTGCCATGCACACAGCTGAGTCCTGTTCTTTACAGGGTGGAGAGGGAGGAGGGTTCATGTTGGGATGACTTCAGGCTTCATCTTCTGTCAATACACTCATGAAAAAAAGGATGGGCTTCCCTCCGGGAAGCTGGAGTTCTGAATGACCCTACGTTGCCATGTCCTTATTTTCATCCATGGCCAGCCCTGAATGTCCTTGCCTCCCTCCCTTCCTCTCTCCTTCCCAAGGATGAGGTAAGAGGGAAGACACTCCAATTCCAGGGTTCTTTAGAGTCTGTATCTCCTCCTCTTCCTCCTCTTCCCTGCCGCCTCTCTTAGCACTCCTTGCTTCTGCTCCTCCCAGGCCAATGACGTTGACATTCTACCCAACCGCTTATCCCTGGGAGGCGACTGGATGGCCAAAGTGAACACCCTGACCTCAGGGTTATTGAGTCTCTATTTTCTCCCCACCCCCGCTTCCTACCATGTAGGCAAATGCCACTTAGAAGGCTCTGAGGACTAGTTGCCCAGCCCAATCTACCCTTCCAGTCACAGATGTCTGCCTCAAGGCACAAAAGGAAAAATAAAAGATGGAAGGCACCATTGATGACAATTTTTAAAAATGGTCTGTTTGGCTTTCCTTCCCACAAGGTCCTGGTCTTCCTCCTTTGTCTATTATCCCTCCCTCACCCCACCTGTCAACTCCTTTGCTTTATTCCTTGGAAGTCTGGAATCTTGGCAGGACGGATGAAGGGTGAGGGGGCAAGGAATGTGGGAAGGCCAGGGCTTGGCTCCTTGGGACCTCTCCCGCCCTGAGAACACCAAGGCCAAAGCCAAGGCCAAGATCAGGACCTGGGCGGGCAGGCGGGCAGCCGCCAGCTTCATTTGCAGACGTACCGCTCCACGATCCTCTCACACTTCTTGCAGGTTACGTAGCAGCACCAGTGGTATTTACAGTGGCATCTTTCCACCACCTTGTCCATGTACGGGTTGTAGCCTCGGCCGCAGCACATGAGGTCGCAGCTGTCACTGCCGTTGGACGTCTTGTTGCACTGTCTGAGGAAAGGAGGGGGAGGAGAGAGAAGCAAAGGGGCTCTGGTGAGGACCTGGCTGATTCACGAGCCTTGGTCTGAGGAGACACAATGCCTGCCCTCTGGGATGCCCAGACTGAAGCAGAGACCCAGACCCCTTCTCTCCATGGCCTCCCACAGGACAGTCTGCCTCAAGTCCCAGCTCCAATCCCACCTTCTGCAAGGAGCCTTCACCCAGCCCTCTTATTTCCAGTGCCTTCCCTCTGTGGATTCTTTTCTGTTTGTCTTGTATATCGTTTCTTTGTACAGAGTTGCTTATGTGTTGTGACCTCTATTAGTTTGTGAGCTCCTCAAGGGTAGGGCCTGTCTTTCCCCTTTCTTTTTATCTCCAGCACTTAGCACAGTGTCTGGCATACAGTAAGCGCTTAATTAATGTTTATCAATGGACTTCCTCAAATTGCCTAGCGTTTATTTACTCTGTCTATATGTTGTGTATACTTGGAAGCTCTTTAAGGGCAAAGACTTTCATTTTTGTCTTTGGATTCCCAGTGCTTGGCATATAGTAGGCACTTAATAAATGCTTGTTTGAAAAAAAAAATTTTTAAATGCTTGTTTGGTAATGGATCAATTTAAGAGAAGTGGTCCCAGGGGCAGCTAGATGGCTCAGTGGACAAGCTCCAGCCTTAGAGTCAGGAGGATCTGAGTTCAAATCTGGCCTCAGACACTTGACACTTACTAGCGGTGTGACCCTGGACAAGTCACTTAACCGCGATTCCCTCACCAAAAGAAAAAAAAAATAGAGAAGTGGTCCCTGACCTCAGAGGGTCCTGATTAGGGGCAAGGGCAGGGAGCAGGGTAAGCAAAGCCCCTCTTGCCAGGGATCCTGTAGTCTAAGGGAAGAGACAGCCAAGGAGTTGTCCAACGTCACCCAGAAAAGTTCTATCATTGACTATCTGTGCGATCTCACACGTTTGATCTTGGATATTCTGGTAGGAAAAGGGCTGGGAGAAAGAAGGATGAAACCTCCCCCAAGCTCAGCAGACTAAACATTTGGGCAGCAGCAGGGATGAGCAGGGACTTCTTCCCACTCTTGACAACACCCGTGCCCCCAGGGAGAGCAATGACAGAAATGGGAGTGGGTTTTGTCACAGTGTACTTAAAATCTAATCAGAAAGAATGCAGAGATCCAAGCTCCATGGACTCCTGGTGTGACCGTAGGTAAGTCACGGTACCTCACTGGGCTTCAGCATTGTGAAACGGGGAGAAAACTTTCTGTCCTGGTTGCCCTCCCAAGTCTGTTGAAAGTATCAAGGAATGTCAGATCTGGAAGGGACTTTGGAACATGGAATGTCAGAGCGAGAAAGGATTCTAGAGCATGTATCACTGAAACACAGAATGTAAGAGCTGGAAGGACCCTTGAGAACACAAAATACCTGATCTGGAAAGGACCTAGGAACATAGAACGTCAGGGCTGGAAAGGATTCCAGAGTATGTAACATCAGAACTCAGAATGTTAGAGCTGGAGGGGACGTTACAATAAGGTACGTCCGAGCTGGAAGGGAGCTTCAGAGCCTAGAATCAGCACTGAATTGTGCCTTACAATGTCAGAGTCAGAAAGGTTTTTACAGCATGTGGCATTAGAATATAGAATGTTACAGGCAGAAGGAACTTTGGAATGAATCACGTCTGTCCTGGAAGGAACCTTAAGAGCCTAGGATGCTGGGGACAAAAAGACCCTTACAACATAGAATGTCACAGCTTAGAACCTTGAAGGTCACATAGAAAGCTTGAGTTGGACAGTATTTCAGCACACAAAATGACTAGGAATAGAAGGAATCTTAATTTCTCAATTCACATCACCTACCAAGTTTTCCTCTTCCCCTCCCATCCTTCAGACCCTCTCCCTCACATGTTCCCACAACCCTGGCCAAGCATAACACCCTGCTGATAGGCGGGAGGGCAGGGCCTCAAAGAAGAGTCCCGGTCTGAGGAAGAAGAGAGAGGGAAAAGAGTGGGATCCAGAGAAGGCAGCCTTGCTGAAGCCCAGTTTATGATGGAACTGGAGAGTGTGGGGTGGGAGCACGGGGTGAAGAGACACCTTCTCTGTTCTCTGTTCTAAGGTCCCATGCAGAAGTGATGCTCTAAGATTTCCACAATTGTTTTTCCAGTCAGCCATCCACCATTCCTCACATATGTATGGTGTTTTATAGTTTCCGCAGTGATTCCCCATGAATTATCTCATAAATCCTGACGCCTGGTCTACACGGCCAGGAACAGTCCTGCTGCACCCATTAGACAAAGCCAGGGAAAAGGTGGAATCCACCGACAAACAGTCCCTAGAGCTGGATGTGGGAAAACCCATTCACTCTGTTTGTCAGGGCTGACTGAGGGCACTTATGTAAGCTGGGGCAGCCCTGCTCAGTGGAAAGACCCTTGGGTTTAGGGCTAGAAGGGACCTTCGGGGTCGCCTAGTCCAGCCCCTCATTTTGCAGGGAAGGACATCACACCAAGGTCCAGAAAGAGGAAGTGATTTGCCCCAAAGTCACACAGGTAATAAATAGGTGTCAGAGGTGGGATTTGAACCCGCACCTTCAGACTTCAAGTCTGACACCCTTTCCTAATGCCTCAGTGTTCTGACATTGAGTTACTACACAAGTCCCTTTTTCCTCTCAGCATCTCAGTATCTCCACTTGTTAATGGAGGGGTCTGGACTCAAAGGTCTTTTAAGTCACTTCCCACCCTGATATTGTCTGATTTGTCCATATTCCCAGCACCTGATTGAGGAGGGGAGGGGGATGGCAGCTGAGAGCGGGGGAGAAACCTGATATCTCTCCTTCACGGTCCCCCCCACCTTCAGCTTGGTAATGGGATCCAGGAGTGCCTTTATTTCCCCAGGGCACCCTAACCCATTTCCCTTCTGGCTTCTCCTCTATCCAGACACACTCCTCCTCCTCTTCTCATTTCCCTCTCTGCCTGTGCAGCTCCAGGGGTTGCCTGAAGCCAGCATTTCCTGTACTGACATTCTTTTAGTCTTCTGGAAGCTCCTCCCTCTCTCCTATCCGATCCTTGCAATCTGGTGTCCATATGGGAATACTGGCCATCCCAGGGGCCTTCAACTCTCTGGGCAAGCTGCAGAGGCTACAATCACAGAATGTTAGAGGGGTTTTAGAACCTAGAACGTCAGAGCTGGGAGGGCCCTGAGAACATGGAATATCAGAGCTTGGAGGGTCCTTAGAACACAGTGTCAGAGCTGGGAGAGAACTGAAAACACAGAATATCAGAGTTGGGAGGGAACCGAGAACACTGAATGTCAAAGCTGGAAGGGCCCTTAGAACACAGAATGTCAGAGCTGGGAGGGCCCTTAGAACACAGAAGGTCAGAACTGGGAGAGAACTGAGAACACAGAATGTCAAGGCTGGAAGAGACCTTAGAATACAGAATGGCAGAGCTGAGAGGAAGCTCAGAACACAGAACATAGAATGTCAGAGCTGGGAGAGATTTTAGAACTAAAAATGTCAGAGTTGGAAAGGATGTCAGAGCTGTGAAGGACCCTAGAACATGGAACGGCAGAGCTGAGAAGAGGCTCAGAACATAGAATGTCAGAGCTCACAGACACCTCAGAACACACACTGTCAAAGCTGGGTGGGGCTTTAAGACATAGAATGTCAAAGCTGGAAGGAGCTCTTCGTTTTACAGATAAAGAAACTGAGTCTCAGAGTGGTGTAAGTGAATTACTCAATGTTACAGAATGGCAGAGCTGGGACTAAGGCATCTGGGTGTGAGGGGCTCCTCATTGCATCATGCCACATTTGGAGTTTCACAGAACACCCGGGTTCTTGCCCCGGCTCTGCCCGGGCCTGGTTCCATGACCTTGGTTAAGTCCCTTCCCTTGTTTTGGCCTCAGTTCCCTCTGATGTTGGACCAGCTGTTCTCCATGATCTGGTATCCTCCAGCTCCCACAACCTGTGTTCAGTGAGCCTGGAGGAAGTTGTGTTGGGTCTTAACTAAAAGCCACCAATCATCCGTTAGCCTGTGGGGAGTGAACGTATGCACTCAGTCCTTGGGTGCTGGTACAAGAAAAGTTTAGATAAAGTAACGGATGACAGATTTCTGACAGCTCGTTAAGGGAAGCTAGGAATGTTTGGCATCTGGAAGAACTACCCAGGCCTCCCCCTACCTGCCTCTTGGCATTCCCAGGGGTTGGGGCATCCCTGAGTCCTGAGGCCCCCTGCTGATGGGGATCAGGCTGGGGAGCTGGTGGTTTGGGAGTAAGGGGGAGGACTGGGAAACTTTTAAATTCTTGGTCATTCTTAGACTTAATACCCTTAGTGCAAAATGTAAAGTTCAGCACTTAGGTTCAAAAAATCAATTGGCTAAGAACAAGATGGGGGAAAGGAGCTAGGCAGAAGTGCCTGTGGAAAAGATCTAGGCAGTATAAGTCTGGTGATTGACTTTGTAATTGCCCAGCTAAATGTGGAGAGGCTAACCACTAGAAGATGGCCACAGGAGAATGAATTTTTCAGCCACAGAAACTCAGGAAGACAGTCTGCCAAGGTACAGCATAGGCAGCTTGATAGTTCAGTGAATAGGGCACTGACTCCAGGGAGTCAGGGAGACCTGAGTTCAAATTCTGCCTCTAGCTGTATGACCGTGGGCAAGTCACTTAAGCTGCCTGCCTCAGTTTCCTTATCTGCAAAAAAGAGGATAGTAATAGTGCCTACATCCCAGTGCTATTGTTGTGAGGATAAAGAAAGTAAGACGATGTTTGTAAAGTGCTTTGCAAACTTTAAGTGATATATAGATGCTAACGATTATTATTGAGATCTCTGTAAATGGAGAATTTCCCAGTAGATCAAATTATGGATTCTTGAAGTAGTGAAATAATATAATTCACTTCTTCCAGGAGTATAGAATTGTATGACACAGGAGAATGGCAGCTTTAGAGACCACTTAGTGTAGTCTCTTCATTTTGAAGATAAGAAAAATGAGACGACCCCCCCCCCCCCACAGAGGGTTAAAGATTTGCCCAAGCCCAGCCACAGGGTTTGATAGCAGAATCCCAGAATGTCAGATCTGGAAGGGCAGAAGGAGGACCCTGCTAGACTTGCACTCAGAAGACTTTTGTGGCTTACTCCCTGTGTGAGCTTGGACAAGTCACTTAACCTCTCTGAGACTCAGTTTCCCCATGTACAAAATAAAGGGGACTATATGATCCATAAGGTCCTGTCTAGGTCTGAATCTCTAATCCCCTGACCTTCACTTGACTGACGGAGAAACTGAAGCCCAAAGAAATGAAGACTTGCTCAAGATCCTGTGTCTGCTGCCTCTTCCTCACTGGATAACCCTCCTCTGTGCCTCAAGTTTCCCATCTGTAAAATGGGGGCAGTTAGACTAGATGGTCTCTATCTAGGCCCTTCTAGCTTGGATTATATTGCTAAGATCTCCTGCACCTCTGACTTGGTATATGTTTTAAAAATCACTTGTCATCCTCTGTTCCTCCCAATCCCCTGGCCTCCACACCCAGGTGAGATCAGATTGTTCTGAGTATCCAAGGCAGCTTTCAAGAAGCCATCAAAGGGAAATGGTGGGGGGGGCACCCTAACTTTCTTCCTGCTTGGCTGAAGTCAGTGGGAGTGCTGGGACTCTTCACCCAGAATCCACAGAATGGCAGAGGCAGAAGGGGACTTAGGGACCACCTAATCAGATCCTCATTTTATAGAGGGGGAAACAGTCCCAGGAAGGAGAAGAGGCCAGGTGTTCAAACTTCCAGCCCAGGACTCTTTCCACCATGGCCCCACATGTATAATTCATTCCTCTCGAGCCTTTCAATACTTTTACGGAGCACTGACCCTTTAATACTGTGAGTAGATAGTACAGGGATTATTTTTCCCCATTTAATAAAATGGGGAAATGGAGGCTCAGGAGGGGAAGTAATTTACCCAAGGTCATCTAGCTGGTAAGAGTCACAGGTGGGATCTGAACCCAAGACTCGGCTCTAGGGCTGGAACTCTTGCTACCATATTGCCTCTTATGAGACAGCAAAGGGAGCTCTGTGGGGGCTGGCTGTGCCTGTCACTACATAGAAACCTCTCCCCTCTATCCCCTTGGGAAGAGTTCCCCAAGAGAGAGAAACAAAGCCAAGAACGGTGATGGGAGAAGCCAAGGGGCGTGAGAAAATGCAGCGAGTGGTATCCAAGCCATGGGAGTGCGCTGGGCCAGCTCTCTGGGAGGCAGATGTTTCAGCAGAGACTTCTAAGGACTCAGCTGCATTCTGGTGATGGGAGTGGCGGTGAGAAAAGGGGGCCCAGACATGGCCCTGGGAAATGATGGTTCTCTAAGACCTGGCCTAAAGATGGTGAGGAGCTGACCCCTTCACTGTCCTTACCATTGCACACCTAGACTCTGGAGGACCTTGAACCTGTGTTTGGAGGAACCACGTTCTATGAAAAGTAATGGGAGATACCAGAAAAATCCATGGACTAAGGAATCGGGACATGGGCTCTGCCACTGATGCACTGTGTGATCCTGGGGCAGTACCTTCTGTTCCAGGCCTCAGTGCCCTCAGCTATCAATGAGAGTGCGTTGGACTAAATGGTGTCCCCACTTTGTGCTCGGAGGGCCCTTTCGGCTCTGCCGTTCTGATTCCGAAGGCTCCTCCCAGCACTAACAGTCTATATTTTAAAGAAAATGGGTATTGTGGAAACAGCCCTGGTTTGGGAGTCAGAAGAGCCGGAAGCAAATTCTGGCTCTGCCACGTATAAGCTATGTGTCCTTAGGTAAGTCATTTAACCTCTGTTTCTCCACTTCCACATCTGTAAAATGGGGGTAACAATAGCCTGTTGTGAGGATAAAACCAAGCAGCATGGGATAGCGGAAGGAACACTGAACTTTTAGTCAGGAGACCTGTGTTCCAAGTTCATTTCTAGTCTTGAAGAGTTTACCCCACTCCTCCTGGCCCCAAACTCCTAATCTATAAAATGAAAGTATTATGGAGTTAGACCAAATGATAATGAAAGACCCCTTCTAGCTCTAACATTTTATGTTTGGAAATCTTTTCAAATGTTGATATTTTGTGTTCTAGCTATAGTAATCTATGCTCTCAGGACCTTCTTAGCTCTAAGAACCCATGTTCTAAGGTTCCTTCCCGTTCTAATATTCTTTGTTCAATGTCTTACAGTCTCCTTCAGTTCTGATTTTCTATATCAGAAGGTCCTACCTAGATCTCCCATTTTCCATTCTATGTTCTGAAGTCTCTTTGGGTGGGACCTATTATCTACTACATTCCAAGGTCCTTTTGGCCTCTGGTGGTCCATAAATATCAGATTTATACAGGACCTCATCTATATAATGAAGTACCCTTTGCATTTTATTTTTTGGCTAGGCAATGGGGGTAAGTGACTTGCCCAAGGTCACATTGTTAGTAAGTGTTACGTGTCTGAGGCCGGATTTGAAGTCAGGTGCTCCTGAATCCAGGGCCAGTGCTCTATCCACTGTGCTGCCTAACTGCCCCATACCCTTTGCATTTAACATCTGTTCAGGTTTCCAGTACTTGTAGAGGTTGACAGTAGCCAGGATAATCCAAATATAGCAGAAACATCAAACCATTCTTTCTGAACTGGGAAACTATTAGGAAGTTTTTATCTGTATCACCTTTTATGACTGGGAGCTAGGTGACACGGTGGGTAGAGTGCTGTATGGTGTGGGAAGATCTGAGTTCAAATTCTGCCTCAAGCACACTTGCTAGCTGTACATAATAATAAGAGCTAATATTTATAGAACATCTTAAGGTTTGCAAAGCCCTTTAAATGTATTATTTCTTTTGATCCTCATAACAACTTTCTGAGAAAGTTTATTGCAAGTATTATTACCATCCCCATCTTATAAATGAGGAAAACTGGGGGTCAAAGAAGTCAAAATACCTGCCTGTGGTTCCATAGCTAGCAGGTTTCTGAGAAGGAATTTGGACAAGTAGTTATTTGGGTTCTAGTGAAGGCCCTCCATCAAAGCAAAGTTCCCTTCCTTCCTAGGAGGCTCATTCTACTCTGGGACAGTTTTTTCCATTACCCTACGCTGAAGACTCTACTGTGTGTAGAGCATGGGTCCCTTGCCCCCAGAGAGCTCATGAGCTAGTACTGGGTCCAGACTCTCCAAGACAGAGAACTACACTCCAAAGTCATGCCCAGTCCCCATCCCCTGCCTCACCTGTCCTGTGTCCCGTGGGAGCCCACCTTCTCGTTCTTCATGCAGAAGTCGGGGGAGCTCTGCAGGTAGATCAGCTCTGTGTCCTGGACGGGCCGAATGTCCAGGTCCTTGGGCACCAGGTGTTTCCGGCTGCCCATGGGTCGATGCACCACCTTGGTGGCTGACAGGTATTTGTTCTTGAGATCCTGGGCCACATCTCGAAGCTCCTGCAGCCCCTTCCAGCAGGTCTTGATGGAGCAAGAGCCAGAGACCCCATGACATTTACACTTCATCTCCAGGGATGCTCTCAGGGCCTGTGGGAGGCAGGGAGGAAGAGGCTGTGCTTCATATGGGGAGATGGCAGCAGAATATTTCCTTATAGAGCCAGTCTGCCTCTCCTCAATCAAATGAGGTCATATTGCTAAAGCACTGAGCACAGTGCCTGGCATGTAGGAGGCATTTAGTAAATACTTGTTTCCTCCCTCCCCCTTCCTCCTCCAGACTCATCAATGGAGAACATTACTATAGTTATCATGTATCTTCACTCCTAGCTTGTGTCTCTTTTTCTCCCCCCTCCACTACCCCAATAATATCACCAGCTCCCATTTCTACAGTGCCTAAGGTTTACAAGAAGGCTTGGGTTCAAGTCCTGCCCCTGACACACACTGGCTGAATGCCTTTGAGCAAATCATTTAGGCCCTCAGCGTAACTCTCTACGACTATTAGTGGCAGAGCAGGTACCAAACTGTATTAGTAGAGGAATTTCCTCCCCCAGGAGTTCCCTCTACTAATGAAATCCCAAGTCCAGTCTCTATCCCTATGCCTTTAGCTTTTATAATACTCTTTCCTTACAGTAAACCTGCTGTGGGGACGAAGAAAGGATTATAATGTCCATTTTACTGGATGGGGAAACTGAGGGAGGCCTGGAGAAGGGAGTGATCTGCCCAAGGTTACACAGTGGTCAGCAGAGAGTTCTTTGCTTTACGTCATTCTGACTCTCCCAGCTCCGACCAGCATGCACATCTCAGCCCATAAAGGTGAATTGTCTCAGCCCCTTCCAGCCACGCAGAGCTGCTGCGGGAGAGAAGGGGGAATGAATCATAGACTCACAGGCCCAGAGGGACTGTCTAGCCCAACGCCCTCAAATTACTGAGGAAATTGAGGCCAGGAGAAGGGAAATGTTTTTTCCCCAGGTCACAGAATTTATTAGTGGAAGAATCAGGTCTAAAAATAAAGTTTTCTGATTTTCTGGTGCCCTTTCTATGACGTGATGATAATATACATGAAAGCATTTAGAACAAGGTTTTCTTTAAAAAATTAGAAATTTTGACTATTAATTTTACAAAAATTAGAAATTTAAATTATAAATCTTATTAAAATAATATACTTATTAAAATAATAAATAAATAATAAATTTATTTAATAAAATGAATAAAAGTTATAAAGAAAAATTAAAAACTTTTGTTATAAATTAATTATCAGTTTTAAAAATTATAATTGTGAGGTGCTGGGAAAGGCATCAGATTAGGTGTCCTGGAGACCCTACTATAGCTCTGTCACCGACTCTCTGAGTCTAATCCAACTTTACTATTTACTGGTGGTGTGACCTTATCATTTCTACTCTCTGAGCCTCAGTTTCTTCTTCTGCATTAATAATAACAATAGCTAGCATTGAAATAGAGCTTTAAGGTTTGTAAAGGTTTTTACACATATTATTTTATTTGACCCTCATAACAACTTGAGGAGGGAGGTGCTATTATTATTCCCATTTTATTTATTTTTTATTTTATTTTTTTAGTTTTTAGGCAATTGGGATTAAGTGACTTGCCCAGGGTCACACAGCTAGTAAGTGTCAAGTGTTTGGTCTGAGGCCAGATTTGAACTCAGGTCCTCCTGACTTCAGGGCCGGTGCTCTATCCACTGCGCCACCTAGCTGCCCCTATTATTCCCATTTTAGAGATGTGGAAATTGAGATGCAAAGGGGTCAGGTGACTTGCCGAGGGTGTCATTCAAGACACTTACATCAGTGTCTGAAACCAGATGAAACTCCAAGTCTAACCTTCTAAACACTGCACTACCTGGCTGACTATAAAAAAAGAGGTTTAAACTGATGATCTCAAAGTCTCTTCCAGTTATGACACTCTATGTTCCAAGGTCCCTCCCTGATCTGACATTCTGGATTCTAAGGTCCCTCCCAACTCTGACATTCTATGGCCTAAGGTCTTGCCCAGTTCTGTGACATTCTATGTTCGAAGGTCCCTTCCAGCTTTGACCTTCTTCATTCTAAGGGCCCTTTCAGCTCTGATGACATTCTGTGTTTTAAAGCTTCTTCCAGCTCTTATATTCTATGTTCTAATGTCCCTCAAAGCTCTAACATTCTCTGTTCTAAGGATCCTCCCAACTCTGACATTCTGTGTTTTAAGGTCCATCCCAGCTCTGACATTTTATCCTCTAAAGCCCCACTCAGCTCTGATGACATTTTATATTCTAAGGTCTTTTCTAACTTAGACATTTTTCACATTCTGCGGATTTTACAATTAAAACAAAGGGAAAGGTTCTTCTGAGGTCAGTATGATTCTCCCACCTTCATTAAGTAGAGCTACCAACCCTCAGAGAAAAGCCTGCCTACTGTGGCACCTGCTTCAGACTAGGACAGGACAGCACATGCCTAGGATGATCTAGCCCAGTGGTGTCAAACTCAAATAGAAAGGGGTGGGGGGAGGACACTAAACTGTACATAAGGATTCCTGGGGGCAGCGTGTTGACTTAGAAAGCCACATTCTATGATTCATCATCTATATTCTATTGTATTTCCATTTATTTTGTTAAATATTTTCCAACAGTATTTTAATCTGTTTCAGCTCCAGTGTGTTGCAGGGGGCACACCTTTGGGCCTCATGCTCTCAGGTTCATGTTGGACACATCTGCTCCATCCCACCAGGGAGCGGAAAACATGGTTTCACAGAACCCCAGAGTTGATGGGAGTTCAGAGCTAGTCTAGTCAGGGAATCCAAGATCTAGAGCTGAACCTAGATCTGGAGCTAGAACTCAGAACTTCTAGTTCAATTTCCTCATTTCAAGGTAAGGAACCTGGGGCCCAGGGCAGTGGAGCAGCTTGACACAGGGCTACACAGCAGAACCAGGATTCAAACTCAGGTCTTCTGATTTCAAATCCAATGACCTTTCTATTATTAGATCTCATTTCTATGGCCCTTTGAAGCTTATAGAACTTTTTTTTTCCAGCAGCCCCATCAAGAAGACAGGACAAACATTCTTAGTCCAATTTTACAGGTGAAGTAATTGACTGGAAGAGTTAAGCCCATTCTCACTTATTCCACAAGCATTTATTAAGTGCTAAAAAAGTGCTGGGGCTGGGGCTGGAGGCAAGGGAGGGTGTCTGTGTGTGCACAAAAATAATAATGAATCTTTCCTTGCCCCCAAGGAGCTGACAAGCCATTGGAACCACCCAGATTGTCCATCGACGGCAATTAGCGCAGATGCCTCACTCCCACTGCATGGGTAAATTTCCCAGTGCTTCTAAATCAGAACATTTGGGAGGTCCAAGCACCCTCCCTGCAGGTGGCTAAAGTGTCAGGGACTCTGGGGGTGGTTGCCAGAGAGGTGAAGGCCTTAGCTACTGTCTCTTTCTCTAGTCTCCTTGGGCTAAAGGGACCAGGTTTCTGGCCAGGGAAACCCACAGCTCTTTGGCCTCAGGGAGAATAATAAAACTATTAACATTTCAATCAAGCTTCAAGGCACTCTCATCCCATTGAACCAGCTACGGTATTACTGGCAGATGAGGACATTGAGACCCCCACAACAGGGAAAATGACTCAGCCAAGGTGACTTATCCTAGATGACACAGATTATTAATAAATTTCAAGAGCTGAGGTTTCAGCCCAGATACTCTGACACCACAAAGCCAGGGCCCCTTCTACATTTTCACCTACTCACAAAGCATAACGTACTATATTATGCCCTGGTGGCTCCCCATGGTTTTCTGAGGTCACTACTGTTTAATCACAGGCACTCCTAGGCCATCCCCTCAGTTTAGGAAGTCCCCAGAGTGGCAGACAAAAAGGCCAGCTCTCAGGCACCTATGTTCACTGCAGACAATACAGATACTGTAAAGGGATTGAGCCCATGCCCTTGTGGACTAAGTGAAACCCAGCCTCAGTTGAGGCACTCAGAGAATCATAAAATTCTAGAGGTTGAAGGGAGCTTAGAACAGAATCCAGATTGTCAGACATGGAAAAGAGCTTAGAAGATAGAATTCAGAGATAAAAGAAACTTTAGAACATAGAATATCAGGTGGAAATCATTCTAGAACATAAAATGTCAGAGCTGAGAAAGGCCTGGAACACAGAATATGAAAGCCTGAAGGGACCTTAGAACGCAGAATGTCAGTATTGGGAGGGACCTTAGAATATAGAATGTCAAAAGGGATAGGGACCTTAGAACAGAGAATGCCCAAGAGCTGAAAGGGACTTTAAGAACATAAACTATCAGAGTTGGAAAGGACCTTAGATCATAGAATGTCAGAAATGGAAGGCACTTGAGAACACAGAATGTCAGGGCTGGGAAGAACCTGAGAATGCAAAATGTTAAATGTGGAAGGGGCCTTGGAACTTTTTTTGTTGTTCAGTCATATCCGCCTCTTCTTGACCCCATTTGGGGGTTTTCTTGGCAAAGATACTGGAGAGGTTTGTCATTTCCTTCTCTAGCTCATTTTACAGATGAGGAAACTGAGGCAAACAGCGGTGAAGTGACTTGCCCAGGATCATTCAGCTAGCAGGTATCTGAGGCAAATTTGAATTCGGGTCTTCCTGACGCCAGGCCTGGCTCTCTATCCATTGTGCTACTTAGCTGGCCACACAAAGAACACAGACCCTTGAAGAGACTTTAGAACACAGCATGTCAGGATTGGAAGATCTTAAGATCATCAGATTGTATATTTTGAGCTGGAAGGGACCTCAGAGATCAAATACTCCAGCCCTGGACGCTCTTATTTGACAGGTGAAGAAACTGAGGCCCAGGGACTTTGTGTTTTACCAGAGGTCAAACAGGTGGTAAGTGGCAGGGCTGAGATTTGAAGCCACACTGTCTGAGCTCAAATCTAGAACATAGAATATAGGAGATGGAAGGGACCACAGCTAAGGTAGCAGTGGTTCCCACTCTGTGGACCACAGACCCTGGGAGGACCTTGGAGTCACTGCAAGGCACCCAGCACTGTCTACTCTCAGATGAGAGAGTCTGGTACTGCTACTAGAATGTGGGGGGAGGGTCTGGGAAGCCTCTTGGCATTAAAAAGCGTCCTCACACTCAAGAAGATGACCAAGAATATTAGAGTTGGAAGGCACCCGAGGGGCAATCTAGTCCCAACTGCCTCATGTTATAGGGGATGAGTCTGTGACCCCCGAGAGCGGCTGCGCTGACCTGGTCCCCATCCAACAGGGTTGGGGCAGGCAGGCCTTCAGGCCCAGTCTCCTGACTACGAACCAGCACCTGGCTCTGGCCTCCTCCTCCCTCCCGGGCCTCCCCAGCCCTGTCCCTGCCCCAGAGGCTGACTGCTGGCCCATTGTCTGGAACCAGTCCCTAGCAGCAGACAAGCAGCAGCAGTCCCCAAGCACAACACCCGCCCTGGGGGGGAGAGGGAGGAAGGGGGAGGTGATGGGCAGGGGGAAGGGGCTGGTTACCTGTCTCCCTACTTCGCTGTTGTGAAGGTGCATCAGCTTATTGGCCTGGGATCCTGTTTTTTTCACCTTCATGGGAGCGTCTGAAAATTTGGCCCCCATGAGGAGACCGTAGTTGAGGTTGTCAGCACATCCTCCCCATCGGTACCCGGGCCCAGGTGTCTCACCTGGGACGGGGCCACAGGAACAGCCAGGAAGATCTCCAGTGGTGCAGGCCCTGGCGATGGTGTGGCTGATGGCAGCGGCAGAGAGGGCATACACGAAGGCAGACTCCCTCGTCCCTGTAAGAGAGAAGGGGGATGAGTGAGGGTCGATGCAAGGGGCGCATGGGAAGGGCCAAGATAATGGAGTTTTATACCTCCTCCCATCCACCCCAGGGCCTGACTTTGGCATGTCATGGCATGGCACGGAGGAAGAGGCATGAAAACTCGGGCAGGGATGGTGCCAGCAAAGCCGAGACAGCGTGGGTTCAAATCCATGCATGACCCTGGTCGAGACTGAAAGACCTGGGGATATTTAGCCTGGAGGAGAGCAGAGTGGGAGATACGGGATGGTCGTATTCAAGTATTCCAGGGGCTGATATGTGGAGGAGGGACTGGCTACAAATGACAGGACTCCAGGAAGCCAGGGAGGGCTCACTACCTTTCCAGGTACTTAGTTCAATTCAAGCCAATTGAGCCTACGATAGTAGAGGAGGCAGAAGGGCTTAGCAGATCAAGGGGCTGCCTTGGTGTCAGGAAGCCCTGGCTTCCACATCCTGCCTCGCACAAAGCAGCCTGCCTTTTTCACTCCTCTACAAGCTCCATTCAGGACTGGTCTGGACTTTCTCTACCACGCCACAGAAGCCTCCTCCCCTTGGAAGTAAGTTCATTCTGCCCCTGCAGCCCCTTCCTCCGACTGGCTGGTCCACCCCAGAATCTCCATTTTAAGGGAAACACCCAGCTCATCTACACCTTTCTCACTCTCTCTCTCTCTCTCTCTCTCTCTCTCTCTCTCTCTCATCTCCACTCACGACTCTCTAGAGCAGGTTCTCCACCCCTGCTCTAGACTTTCTCTACCATCCCCCAATACAAGTCGCTCCCCACCTCCAACTTTCTCGGTTCCTTTTATGTGTCTTCTCCCATTAGAATGTAAGCTACTTGAGGGCAGGTGCTGTCTGTCTTTCTGCCTACATTGGTCTTCCCAAGTCTTAGCACTGTGCTTGGCCCGTGAAATGCTGCTCGACTTGACTTGACTGGGCAAGTCAGTTAACCTCGGTGACAGACTAAGACCTAAGTTTCAGAACAGCGGCTGATCAGCATTAGTGGAGAGAGGTAGGAGTTTCCTCTGTGGGAACTACCTACAACAGTGAAACCACCATTCCTACAAATGTGTAAGACTTTAGCTTTTGCTCTCAAAAAGCTTACAGTCCACTGATGAGACACAACGTAGACAGAGAAAGGCATAACGTAGGGCAGGGGTGAAATAAGGGGAAAGAGAGATCAGACAAAGTGACCTAGACACATGTGAAGAGGGAAAGAGCTCTAACTCTGGGCTGTAGGGATGGTATGGAGGCAGAGGTGCAGGGGATGAGGTAGAGGAGGGGGAGAATCAGGGAGGTCTTCATGGAGGAGGTGCCACCTGAGCTGAGCCTTGATGGAAAGTTGATGATTCTGAGAGGCAGAGACAAGGGAGTATGTTCTAGGAAGAGGGGGCATGGCTTGTGAAATGCTTGGGAGGTGGTATGCTGAGTTCCAAGAACAGCCCGTAACAATCCAATTTGACCGGAATATGGATGGGAATAATGTGAAATGAGGTTGGAAAAGTAGATTGAAGTCAGACTGTGAAGGGCTTAAGAAGGCCAAGCTACAAAGTTTGTATTTTGCTCAAATGGAAAAAAAGGAACCACTTGAAGTGTTTTGAATATTGTTGTTAAGGTTATTGAGCTGTTTTAGTCATGCTTGGCCCTTATTGACCCCATCTGGAGTTTTCTTCACAAAGATATAGGAATGGTTTACCATTTCCTTCTCCGGCTCATTTTACAGATGAGGAAACTGAGGCAAAGAGGATGAAGTGACTTGCCTAGGGTCACATAGCTAGTAAGTGTCTGAGGCTCGATTTGAATTCAGATTTTTGTGACTCCAGGCAGGGTGCTGTATCTGCTGCATCACCTACATTATCTTCCCAACTTTGAGGATGGATTGGAAGGGGAGGCACTGGGGATGCAAGCAGAGATGCCTATTAAAAGGCTATTACATGAAGTATAATTTTTTTCACTTTATTTTTCTTGCTTTTTTGCAGCACAGCTAATATGGAAATATGTTTCACATGATTTCACATGTATAATTGATATCATATTGCTGGCTTTCTCAGTGGGAAGGGGAGGGCCTGGAGGGAGAGAGAGAATTTGGAACTCAAAAAAAATTGTTTAAAGAATGTTAAAAAATTAATTTTATACACACACACACACACAACACAACACACACACACACACACACACACACGCTATTATAATAATCCTAGCCAGTAAAGAGGGACTGAACTGGGATACTGACCATTTGAGTAGAAAGAAGAGGACAGTGATAAGAGATGTCTTGGAGGTATAATTGCCAGGATTAACAGGATTGGATATGGAGATAAGGATCCTCCTCCATCTAGAGACTAGAACCTAGAGAAGAGTCAAAGACTCAAGGTGGGGAACCTCCACCTTGAGGCAACATGTGGCCCTTTGACTGAGTCCAAACTCCACAGAACAAATCCTTTTATTAAGAGGATTTGTTCTGTGAAGTTCAGATCCAGTCAAGGGCAGTACTGGAGGACCTAGAGGGCCACATGTGGCCTCGAGGCCTCAGGTTCCCCACCCCTGGTCAAAGAGACTCTGAGGCTATCAATCTAAGTGCCTGGGAGGATACCTCAGCCTCAATTTCTTTATCTGTAAAATGGAGGATTAGACCAAATGTTCTCTAAGATCTCTTTTGACTCTATGTCTGTGGTCCGGTGATCCTCTGATGCCTTCCACAGAGGTAAGAAAGTTTTCAGGTGTCAAGGATTTCAGGAGGAAGGATGATGATTTCTGTTCTGCACACGCTGAGTTTCAGATGTCGGTGGGACACCCAGGTGGAGACGTTGAGCAGACAACCGGAGATGCAGAATTGGAGTTTAGGGGAGAGGTTAGAACTGGCTCGCCTGATCTGGTAGTCATCTGCATAGAGATGAGAACTGAAGCCACGAAATCCGATGAGATCACCAAAGGAGAGAGTGAGAAGAGAAGAGGCCGCCGTTCCAACAACTGAAGCCCACGCTTAGTGGGCAGGAAGGATGATGATCCCGTGGAAGAGATGAGCAAGGAGCAGTCAGACCGATAGGAAGAGAGCCAGTGTCATAAGAATCAAAGGCAGAAAGGTTCTCTAGTTCCTTAGAGGTCCTCCCTGTGAAACATCTCTGGAATCCGTCCCATCCTTTCTATTCCCATGGATACTGTTCCTTCCTCTCTACAATCCATCCTTCATGGCATTACCAGGTTTTCTTTTTTCTTTTCTTTTTTTTTTTAGGCAATGGGGGTTAAGTGACTTGCCCAGGGTCACACAGCTAGGAAGTGTCAAGTGTTTGGTGTGAGGCCAGATTTGAACTCAGGTCCTCTGGACTTCAGAGCCGGTGCTGCCAGGTTTTCTTATGCATAGAACTGATCATGTCACACTCCTCTGCTCAAAAATCTGCAGTGGCTCCCTCTTGCCTACTCAGTAGTGTTTCAACTCTCTTCTTTCCTATTTAAAGCCTTCTGCAACTCTCCTGCTTTATCTCATTTTATTCCCTCCTAGTTAAGCCTTTGCTCTATCCAAGAAGGGGGTGGTCGAAAGTGTCAAAAGCTGCTGAAAGGTCAAAGAGGTGTGCTAACCATTGGAGTTAGCAATTAAGAGGCTGTTGGTAATCTGGAAGAGAGAAGTTTCAGTCAAGTGGAAGGGTCAGAGGCCAGATTGCAAAGGACTGAGTGAGAAGCAAGGAGGAAGATGAGAAAGTGGAGATGTTGAGTATAGACTATTCTTTCTAGGAGTCTTACCAATGAAAGACAAGGCAGATATGGGATGATAGGTGGAGGGGATGGCACCAGAGGGTCAAGTAAAGGCTTTTTTAAGGATAGTAGAGACTTAAACATATTTAGAAGTAATGGGAAAGAGCTCATAGATGAGAGAGACAGAGAGAGACAGAGACAGAGACAGAGAGAGGAAGTGATTCATGGGATAGCAAGAGAAGATAGGAGTCAACCAACTGACAAGCATTTATTAAGCATCTCCTGAGTGCCAGCCTCTATGCCAAGCATTGGTGATACAAAGATGACACAAAATAATATTCTCTGCCTTTGGGAAACTTCTAATCTAGCCAGTGTGGGTAATGGTGCTGGAAGAAAGCACAAATTTGGGGAGAAAGTTAACAAGGTCAATTTGAGGCATAGGATCATAGCTCTAGAGCAGAAAGAGACATCAGTGTCTACCTCCCTCCTTATACAGAGGAAACCAAGGCCCAGAGAGGGTAAGGGATGTCCCCTAAATCAAAGTGGTTATAAGTAATGGAAGTGGGATTTGAACCCAGGAGTTCCGACTTAGAGTCAGGATTTTTTCCCACTGTTCCCTCTTGTTGTTGGTGAGTCACTTTTCAGTCATGTCTGACTCTTTGTGACCCCTTTTAGGGCTTTCTTGGCAAAAATACTAGAGTGGTTTGCCATTTCCTTCTCTAGCCCACTTTATAGATGAGGAAACTGAGGCAAACAGGGTGAAGTGACTTGCCCAGGATCCTACAGCTAGTAAGAGTCCGAAGCTGGATTTGAACTCAGGAAGATGAGTCCCCCTGAATCCAGGCCTGGCACTCTGTTCATTGAACCACTGAAGCCCAATTCTGATTCTTCATAATAACTTTGAGGTATCTGTAGGGTTCCTGCAAATGAAAATATTCTATATGTAGCTGGAGAAGGGGGATCTTATAATAATGATAATAATAGTCTAATATTTTAGCATATATCTATATAATTTATATATTTATAATGGATAGAAAATCAAAGATATGTGTATATTTAATATAAATATGATTATTATAAAGAATAATAGCTGTATATCTTAATATAAACTTATAGTTTATATATTTATTATCAATATAACCAAATAAATATATTAGTATGTATAATATAAATATAATTATTACAAAGAACAATAATCATCTTATGTTTTTGTATAAATATATAATTTATGATGAATAGATAAATATTTGTATGTTTAATATAAGTATAATTATTATAAAAATAATAATCACTTCATGTTTTAGTATAAATAATTTATGATTAGTATATAATCAAATATATTTGTATATCTAATATAAACATATAATTTGTGATTATCACATAATCAAATCAATGTTTGTATATTTAATATAAACATAATTTATGATTACTTTATCATCAAATAAATATATTGTATATTTAATATAAACACAATTTATGATTACTATATAATCAAATAAATATATTTGTATATTTAATAGAAATGATTATAAAGAATGATAATGGCTTTATATTATTATTTAAACAGCACTTTACAATTTTCAAAGCATTCTATGTATATCATCTTATTTGATCTATAGCTTGGAGGAAGGGTCAGGACTAGAGATTTAGGTTTGGGAGTCACCTGCATAAAGGCAGTAGTGGAAGCCAGAGGAGTGGTTTCAAGAATAAAGGTGAAGGTTAATAATACGTCAGTGGGGACTTAAAGGAACGGGAAGAAGAGCCAGAGAAGGAGAGCGAGGAAGGGGTCATAAGGGTAGAAGGAGAAATGGCGAGTTTGGTGTCTCTGAAGAAGGAGGAAGGGCTAATGGTGTCCAAAGCTGAGGGACAGGGCTGAGAAGAGGTGAATTGTGACCTTGGAGGCAACAGTAGGGAGTGAAGCTAGACTGGAAGGGAAAGGAGATTGGGGGTGGGGTAGGAAGTGAGGCAGGTCTAGATCTTCTTCTTCCAAAACCCAATGCTCTTCCCTCCACCCTCCACTGGCTGATGGGCCATTGTTAATGACACCTCCTACATGAAGCCTTCCCAGAGGAACCTTTCATGGTTCTGGCTACATCTTGGACTCCATGATTCCTTGAGCCTTTACTAAGCAGTGTGGTACCCTGGAGACAGCAACAGATTTGGAGTCAAGAGAACCTGGTTTAAAGCTGGCTCTGCTGCTCACTACTGTCACGACCTTGGATCTTGGATATCCACTAAGATCCTTGCCAGCTCCAACTATATGATCCATGTTACCTTTCTGATGTAATTTGTTCCTTTTCATATGCCTATGTTTTGTCTCTCACAGTAACTACCCTTGGGCAAGTCACTTACATTCTCGGGGCCTCAGTTTCATCTGTAAAATAGGAGGAGTTGGTAATGATTTTTGTGTCCTGGACTGCTTGGCAGCTTGGTGAGGCCTATGGACCCCTTCTCAGAGTCATGTTTTTCAAAGCATAAAGTGAAATACATAGGATAATAGCAGAAAACAATTATGTTAAAATAAAGATGCACTTTCCCCATCCAAGCTCCTGGACTCTCTAAAATCTATCCACAGACCTTTTTTTGGGGGGGGTTGTCTGTGGATCCCCCTGTACTAGAGATCCCCTCTAGTTCTGTCATTCAGGATTCTATGACTGCCGCTAGAATACACAGAGACTTTGGACAAGATTCTAGATTATTAGCTCCTTAAGGAATGCTTCCCCCCCCCCCCGATTGGATGCTCCTTTAGGATCCAGAACCATAGACTGAGTGCTGTAAGGGGCTTTAGAAGACAAGAAGTGCTCTTTGCATCAGAGCCACCCTCCTCCTTTCTTCCCCAGAGCCTCGCCCACTCCGGACGCTCCCTCCCTACCTCTTTCCAAGTCCAGTAGGTAGTTGGGGGCGCGCTCGATGGAGGAGCAGTTCCACCGCATGTCAGAGAAGGCCTTCCGGCAGGTCTTCATGGCCTCTCTGGCGGCCTGCACGATGGTTTGCATCAGCTCCAAGTTGCTCCGGCATAGCTGGACCTGGGAAGACACCAGTCCTTCCAGCTGTTTGCAGTGCTGAGTCTGGTTCAGGGCCAGTACCGAGGGTGTCTTGGACAGGGCGCTAGGCACCCCAGAAGGAAAATTAAAAGAAAAGAACAAAGAGGAATAAAGCCAATGAGGGTCAGAAAGTCCTCCCAATGGGGTTTCTCTCCACCTAGACCCAGACTCCAAGTCTCTGCAGGAGAGACAGATGAAGTCATCTGCCTGAAAAGAGACAGCCTAGTGTGGGAGTTCGGGTTCTGGTCTTGGCTGAACCTCTACCTTAAAATCACAGACTGTTAAGATCTGGAAGTGTCCTTAGAATATAGACGGTTAGGGCTCTGTCACCACCTCATTGTATGACTGTCCTCTCTCCATAAAGTGAAGACTGTCAGACTGAGTGATCCTGAAAACTCCCTCCGGTGCAGACATTCTACATTCTAAGATCTTCTTGACCTCTGGAGCTCTATATTCTATGGATTCTTTCAGCTCTGGCATTCTATGTTCTACATTCTAAAGTCCCTTCTAGCTCTTACAGTTTGTGTCCTATGCTGTAAGGCCCCTTCTAGCTCTGACACTGTGTCCTATGCTCTAAGGCCCCTTCTAGCTCTGACACTGTGTCCTATGCTCTAAGGCCCTTCTAGCTCTGACACTGTGTCCTGTGCTCTAAGGCCCCTTCTAGCTCTGACACTGTGTCCTGTGCTCTAAGGCCCCTTCTAGCTCTGACACTGTGTCCTGTGCTCTAAGGCCCCTTCTAGCTCTGACACTGTGTCCTGTGTTCTAAGGTCCCTTTTAACACTGACACTATTGTTATACGCTAACATTTCATATTCTAAGTTACCTTGTAATTTTAATATTTTAAGTTCTAATACTCTATGTCTCTAGGATTTTAAGATTCTGTTTATCTCCAACTTCACAATTTCAGTGGGAACCAATACCCAGGAGGGGTCTGAGAGAGCCTAGTGGCTTCTATGAGATTCTTACCAGAGCCTCACAGAATTGTAAAAAGTTAAGACAGAAAACAACCTCTAAAAAAAATCTAGTCCCATTCTTCCATTTTAAGGATAAGACATGTGAGGTCCAGAGAAAGACAGTGACTTCCCTACAGTCACACAGTAAGTTAACCACTCTCCCTGACCCTCTGATCATCTTTCAATCAAGATGCCTCTGGGATGTGCAACTAGAAGAGAAAGACAGGTTCATCTTGTGGCCCGAATGGGAGGTCAGAGGTCTATGAGGCTTGCCACCTCCTATAGCATTGTCTTCCTTGAATTCTTCTCTAAAAGGGACAATCTGGAGGGCCTGGAGTCAGGAAGACCCAAGTTCAAATCTGGCCTTAGACACTTCCCCGCTGTGTGACCCTGGGCAAGTCACTTAGCCTCTCTTTGCCTTAGCTTCCTCATCTATAAAATGGGAATAATAATGGTACCTCCCTCCCAGGGTTGTTGTGAGGATCCAATGGGATAATAATTATAAAGCACAGTGCCTGGCCCATAGCAAATACTATACAAATGTCAACTCTTATTATAGTTATTACTAATCGTCACTTCTCAGACACTTAACTTGCGTCCTAGTCCTGACCACATCTGGCCACCATCATTGCCAGCTTATCAATAAAATGATCCTTCAGAGATCCACATCATGGTGGAACAGCACTGGACCAACCTGGCAGCTTCTTACTACGTGACCTTGGGCAAGTTCCTTGAAGTGTCAGAAACTCAGTTTCCTTCCCAGGAAAATGGGCATAATAATCAATCAAAAAGTATTTATTAAGCACCTAGTATGCATTAGGCACCTGTGTTCATTGCTGGGCAAAAGCGAAACAGTCCCTGCCCTCAAGGGGCTTACATTCTATTGGGGATATAGAATGATGTTCATAATCCTCCACGAAAGTCCTCCTCTGATATCTCACTGCAGTATGGGAACGATTCCAGTCCTGGAAGGCAGTGCCAGGAGAATGTAGTCTTTGACAGTTCTCACCAGGCCAGGGAGGTTTTAGCACCGGCCTGGGAAAGGAGGGTGTATTTGTCTCCCAAGAATCAGTCTAGCCAAGTAGACCAAAATCTGACTTCTACTCATTGCTCCTAGGTCCACTGCCTGAGCCGAGCAAAATGTCAACTCCCTCCCTTACAGGACATCCCTTCAATTTCTTAAAAACAATATTCATGTCATTCCTGGCTCTCTGTTCCAGGCTAAACCTTTCCAACCCCTTCAATGGATCCCCATATGGTCTGGTTTATGGGGCCCTCATCACTCTGGGTTTCTTCATAATGGATACACTGTCAATGTCTTTCTAAGTGGCGCCCAGAACTCACCGCAACATGCCAGATGGGACCTGACCAGGGCAAACAGAGCTACGTCATCCCGTCCTGAAGAGCAACAGATTTAGGAAAGAGGATTGTCATGGTCACTGTCTTCCAATATTTAAAGCTGTCGATGGGGCAGAAGGATAGCGTCCATCCTCTGCTCAGCTGTCAAACTGATCTTGTCACCCTCTATTCAGTCACCTCTAGTGGCTTCCTATTGCCTCCAGGATCAAGTCTAAACAAAAGCTAGAGTATCCTCTGTTTGGCTTTCAAAGCCTTTCGTAACCTAGCTCCTTTCTACTTTTCCAACCTTCTGACACCTTACTCACTCACACACTCCTCAATCCAATGACATTGTCCTCTTTGCTGTTTGTGGAACTTTCCATCTCTGACTTTTTCCCTGCTCTCCTCCGTGTCTGGAATACTCTGAGCCCCTCTTTATATCTGCCTTCCAGCTTCCCTGACTTCCTTCAGATCTCAAGGTCCCAACTTCTACAAAAAGCCTTTCCCAGTTTTCCTTAATCTTAGTACCTTTTCTCTGAGATTACCCTCAATTGAACCTGCCTACGTCTTGTTTGTACATGTGAATGCATGCTGTCTCTCCCCATCAGACTCTGAGTTCCTTGAAAGAAGAGACTACATTTTTTTAGCTTTCTTTGAATCCCCAGCACTTAGCATAGTGCCCGGTACATAGCTGACTGCCTTGTCAACTTGTATTGCTTGGCCCCGAAGGGAGGAAGCAGGCACAATGGGGGAAAGCTAAACCGTGGTACCTTGGGCAAAGGTCTTCTAGACCTGTTCCAAGAAGGCTCAGGAATCAAAGAAAGCAGAGGAGGTTTAGGAAGTGCTAAAGCCCAGGGTTAGGCCATTTAGAAGCCAACCACAGAATCACAGAAGCTCTGAACTGGCCCTGACTTGGGAAACCACCCAGTCTTACCCCTACTTGAGGTGGTAGATGCCCCAACAACATCTCGATAAGTCACCCGGCCTCCACTTGAACACCTCCCCATTTGTCTCCAGGGGAGGAGAAGCTGGGAACAGGAAGAGAGCTCACAGGCCCCCACAGCTCTGTTCCACAAATCCACTAAAAGGGAAACGAGGTCACTTATAAGGTCACCCTGTTCCCTCCGCTTTGCTGCCTATCACAGGCAAAAATGGCCTCTTCTCCTGTGACCAGTGGGGCAGTTCAGGGAATACAGACTCCATTGCTGACTTTCCCACCTAGCCCAAGGGACTAGGCTCTGAGAACGATGAGAATTCCTGAACTTAAGAGTACTCATGATGAGAGGCGACTTAAGGCAGGAACAAGAATGCCTTTATTCCAGTATCTGAAGGGTTTTCATGGGATAGGGCTTCACAAGATCATAGATTTAGAGCTGCAAGGGAATTTACAGATAAGTAAACTAAGGCCCACAGAAATCATATTCCCAAGTGGAGGAGCCAGGAGTGAGCCCCTGACTCTAATGCCAGTGCTTCTCATTCTGTTTAGCCAGAGGTAAGAACAATACAATACACTCTCTGGGACTCTGGTTCACACAGTTCCTAAGGGCCAGAATGGACTGACCCAGAAGGCCCTGAGTCCCCCCCAGCATGGAATAGTGGAAAGAGTGTTGGATTTGGAACCAGAAGAACCAGGTTCAAATCCTGGTTCTGCCACTTATTACCCACGGGTCATTTAACTTCATGGTTTCTCCAGGCCTCAGTTTCTTCCTCTGTAACACAAGGAAGTTGAACTAAATGACCTGTAAGTTCCTTTCCAGAAATAAGCCTGTGAGCCCATGACCTTACAAGGTAAGCCCATGTTCCACAGTGGTAGTCTTCTCTGTTGGGAAATTCAAACTGAGCTTAACCCAAGAATCATAGACTTTCAGAAATAGAAGTGACCTCGGAGGTCGTGTGGTACAATCAGTACCAGGAGGATGAACCCTACCTACTTGAAGATCTCTAATCACAAAGATCATGCAATCATCAACTTGGGAGCTGGGGGGGACCAGTGGGGGGTCTGTGTCTCTTGAATAGCAAGACTGGCCACAGAAGAGGCCACATTGGTCAGCGACCCATTAAGGGAGAAAATTAGCAAGGGATGGGCTCTTGCAAGGTGACCCTGTGAGAGCCTTTCCTTTAAAACTACTTTTGACTTGGGGAGCAGAGCTGTGGGCACCACTGAGCTTTCTTTTCCGTTCTCAGACTCTCCTCCCCTGGAGATAAACCAAAATGTTTTCAATTAGGGATTTGAATGAGTGAGTCAAGCTGAGAAAGGCTGTCCAGACCAGTAAATTTCTGCCTCCCGCCTGTAATCCCTGATTGACTCCCTGGAGTGGGACTTAGTTAGAAACGGTCATTACCGTTAATTATGGAATTACCGCATCCCCTCTCCTTGGATGCAGCTAGCCTCCTCCTGGTGTATTTATTTATGTGTGTCTAGGATTGATTTCCCTGCCCTGTGCTGAAGGGTTCTGGCTTCATCCATGAAATCGAGCTGCCCCATCCTTCTTCACATTGATTGTTGGCAGCCTGTGTCTTGGACAGCCCTGATTCCCTGCCCGAGGCCCCTGGTTATCCCCATCTCTTCTGCCTTCAGCCATGCCACTTAGGCTAGAGCAAACCTTAGAACCTAGAGTGCCAGAGGTAGAAGAGACCCTCAAGTATAGAATATCAGAGAGAGAAGGGATCTTAGAACATAGAATGTCAGAGCCAGAAGGGATCTTAGAACATAGAATGTCAGAGCCAGAAGGGATCTTAGAACATAGAATGTTAGAGTAGATGGGACCTTAGA